AATTTTTTCCTAAAAGATAAACAAAATAAAATCGAACTAATTATCAGTTAATAAATAAAAAAATACATATGTACATGTATGCATGAAGGCAAAAAAAAAAAAACAACAACGAAAAAAGCAAATATTTAATGGGCCAGAAATCAAGTAAACAAATTTAAAAAAAAAATGCAAGAAAGGAATAAAACAGCAAACGAAAACAATTTATAAGATAGTAAAAGTAAAGCTAAAGAAATGTAAAGAGATACACCCACCCCATAAGAAAATGAAGAACAACGTAAGTCCATGGTGGGTGTAGTAGAGGATGCCGATTCTAAAATAAAAATCATCGAAAGAGAAAAAAAGACAGCAAAGGAGGAAGTTGACAAAAAAAAAAAAAGAAAACGGAAACGTGACAAAAGAAGAAAAAAAACAAATAATGATATGAGTAATTTCTTAGCAAATCCCATGTGCATGTGATGCATCATAGTACGACATATACCCACCCCCTAGATTAGGCGTCGAACTGACATGTAACAATGTTGTTGCTGTTAAACCTTCAGCACATGAACTGCAATTCATACACTCTTGACATGTTGTCTGTTGTTGTTGGTGTTGCTGCTGATGCAGATGTTGCTGCTGTTGTTGACGTTTGCATATTTGACATTGCATATGATTTTGACGACAATAGCTGTGGGCATTGTTACGTCTATAATGCGAACTGCGACGATATGGTGACCAATTATTTGCTGGCTCATTACAATTGCCACCAGCAGCACAAACGATTTTCTCAAAACTATTTCCCATTGTATGGGTAGGTGGAGATTTGTCTTTTTGATTTCAATCTTTTTTAGATGCTTTGTGTTGCAAGAGATTTTCTTAAAATATTGATTTTTAATTGGCTACAAGAGGACATGAAAACGCACATTACATAAATGTTTAGAAACGCAAGGAAAATTGCAATTTTATTTTGTTCCTATTGCCATTCGTGTGTGTCCTTTGATAGAAAACCAACACTCATTATAGTGATGTATTGAATTTGGATGTTTGAATTGATAGATATATCTTCTACTTCCTACACTTTATATGAGATTTATTTGAGATTTATGAAATTTGCACCATATGCAATTTTTTGGAAAATGTGGAAATATGCGTGAGGTAACAGACATAACGGACCGAAATATTCCATTTTCATACTTCATCTAAATTTTATGCGAAATCATAAATTACGATAAATTACTTATTCATATTAGATTTCTGGTTAAGAGAAACATTTAGATATAGCAAGTTGTAAAGAATCACCGACTTATTTCGCAAGTTATAACAGTTATAAGTATTGGAAATTGTGACCCTTTGTGGGTGAGGTACCAGAAGGTGTTGCCAGATATAAAATATTAATCTTCACAACAGATCTTGCGTTTGCAAAAATATTTGGATGTGTGAAATGTGAAGACAGTTTGATGCTTATCTCGCTTTCTTTGAGCATTTTGTTTTTCAGAAATTTTGAACCCTATGTGGGGGAGGTACCAGAAGAATTGGCCTGATCTGTACCATCCTTATAACAGATCTTGTGGTTGTGGATGTTAATTTCTCGTTTTATGAGCTTCATGGATACTCTAAATTTTGACCTTTTGTGGGGGAGGTACCAGAAGAAGTGAACCGATACGTCCCATCTTCACATCAGACCTTGGGTTAATACAAATATTGTGATGTGTGTAATTCGAGGAGAACCGGACGTAATTACGGATTTTATGATCATTTTATGTATTCAAAATTTTGACCCCTTGTGAGGGATGTACCAGAAGGAATGGCAGACGTGCCAAGTCTGAATGGATTTGGATGTTAATTTCGCGTTTTATGAGCTTCATGGATATTCAAAAATTTGACCCTTTGTGGGGGAGGACCAGGAGGTGTGGACCGATATATCCCAACCCCACATCAAATCTTGTGTTAGTAGAAATAATGGTAGTCTGCACCGATATTGTCCATTTTCGCACCTGACCTAGCACTGATGCAAATTTTAGGATTTGAGATCAAAAAACTGAAACCAGACTGCTACAATTTCAAAGCGACTCGTCCGACAGCTGTTAAAATTATTCCAGTGACAGCTCATTATATTGTTTACAAGCGTACAAAAGCATTTTGGTGAGAATTTTCCAGAAAAAAAGTTATTCGTGATGGAATTTAAGCGTGATAGCGTGATTTCTTTACATTTGGCTGGAAAACCACAAGTGGCTATCTCGTTACAGCACTCCTGCATTTAAATGTGAATAAATTGTTTGTGTCTCGTACCATCGCTCGTTACCGTGATACTGGTAGCGTAGCCCGACGTCAAGGAAGTGGACGGAAGAAAACAGTAACATCAGCAGAAATGGTTCGAAATGTAATGAAGCGACTGAACATATCGCAATATTCCATTCGGCAAATATTGAAAAATGAGCTCGGGATAAAGCCATTGAAATTCCAAAGAGTGCAAGAACTTACACCGCAACAGCAAGAAAATAGACTCAAAACAGCTAAAGAGTTGCTTCGCTTGGCCGGAATTGGAAAACTGTCGAATTTGGTTTTCTCCGACGAGAAAACATTCGCTGTTCAGCAATTTGCAAACAAACAAAAGGATCGTGTTTACTTGCCAAAGAGGTCAGCTGAAAATGTGCACCTTCGGTTGGCCACCAGAACTCAATCGCCGACCATGGTGATGGTGTGGGCCAAAACAGACGATGGTCGCTCTCCGCTCGTATTAATCGATCGTGGCATCAGAATAAGCCGAATATCATCGCGAAAATATTCTGGAGGGTGTATAAAAGCCTTGGGCACGCCAACATTTTGGCCGCAAACCTTGGCCACCAAAATCCCCGGATACCAACCCGGTGGACTACTGTGTCTTGAGTATTTTGGAAAGCAAGGTTGGCACAAAAGATTACCAAAGTATCGATCACCTCAAGCAACCGCTTCGCTGGGAATGCGCCAAAATACCGCAGAGCAATATTCGGGCAGCGTGTGACGTTTTCATTGGCGGTTTGAATGCCATATTTCGTGCCAAAGGTGACCACTTCGAACAAATCTAAGCGTTTTCTAAAATTTGATGCTATTTCCGACATTTTTTTTTTTTTGCTTTCATTCAATAAAATTAAAAAAAAAAACAAATAAAATAGGAGCTAAGTTCGGCAGGGCCGAACTTTTAATATCCTCCGCCATTTGGAAAGAACTTGAAACTTTTCCAAAAACTTTCGGAAACTACCAATTAAATGAAATGATATATGAAGACGTGGACCTGCTTACGAACTTTTTTGTCATAGGCTGTAGTACCCATTACGAACTTCAAACACCAAATTTGAAACAATTCCGGTGAATAATTTTGCCCAAATCATAAAAATGCCGAGTATCGAGAGGTACCGTTATATGGGGGCTATACGAAGCGTAGACCTGAATACAAAAATTTTTTGTCATAGGCTGTAGCACCCATTACGAACTTCAAATACGACATTTGAAATAATTGCGGTAAATAATGTCGCTACAATCATCAAAATACCGAATATCGCGATGTACTGTTATATAGGGGATATACGAAGACGTGGACCTTCATACGAAATTTTTTTCATAGATTGTAGTAACCATTAAGATTTCCCAATACGAAATTTGAAACAATTCCGGTGAATAATTTTGCCCAAATCATAAAAATACAAAATATCGGGAGCTACCGTTATATGGAGGCTATACGAAGACGTGGACCTGCATACAAAAATGTTTATCATAGGCTGTCGTACCCATTACAAACTTCAAATATGAAATTTAAAATGATTCCGATAAATAATGTCGCTGATATCATAAAAATACAGAATATCAGGAGGTGCCGTTATATGGGGGCTATACGAAGACGTGGACCGACAGGGCCCATTTACGAACTTAACCTGCCTACTGGTAAACTATGCATGTATGCAAAATTGTAGTCTTCTACCTCAATTTGTTCGAGAGATAGCATGATTACAACAGACAGACAGACGGACATCGCTAGATCATCTTAGATTGTTACGCTAATCCAGAATATATATACTTTGTGGGGTCTAATATGAATATTTCGAGGATTTACAAACGGAATGACAAAGTTAATATATTCCCCATAGAATGGTGTAGGGTATAAAAATGTAAAAATTATGGCGTTTGACTTTGTTGCAGTTTTTTTATCTCACCCTGTGTGCAACTTGTTTCCCTATAAAATCGATTCAAAAATACTCGCCATAAAGAAGTGCCAACATTGCAACCGTTTCATAATATCAATAAATAGCTATCATTCATAGCCAATTAAATGTCACATAGTAATTTAATTTTACATAATACGCCTTCAAATAATTGCAGCCAAGAGTAATATCCGGCTTTTGGGACATTCGTAGAAACGTTTAATTCCCCACGATTACTCTTGAAAATAAATTGATTTGTCAATATCCTCTTTAAATCATCGTTAAGACCCTTATCGAAATCCAATTAAATCCAAGTAAGTCATTCACATAACAAGTAATCTCGTTTACTTTCCTCCCACACAATGTCGTCGTCCTTGTTTGTTCCTCCCTAAAGAAGTAAATAAAAGCAACAGCAAATTGTGTTTTCTTTTGCAGCAACAACGACCAACAAAAAATCATATCCTTACTCTCCAAAAACAACAAAATCATCATCGTTGAGGAACATATGACTTGGTGTACAGAAATTCCGACAACTACAACACAATTATATACGCTACACTTCAAGGCCATTTTAAGCGAAAACTTAACACTTATTGATTTTTCGATATGTGTGTGCATTTTTTTTTTGCTAAAATACAGAAGAAGAACCACAAATAAACCAAAACATTTAAACAAATGCATGCATGGGATATTAGATAGTGGGAAGTGGGAGAGGAATTGAGCAGGGGGTTTTTTTGACTACGCCAAATGACAAATTTCAAATTCTACATAAATCATTATTAATTGTCTAGCCAATGAGGAAAGAAGAAGGAGCAAAAACGTTTATAATTAGTAACAGGAAATTACATTGCCATCATGACCCAAGAAAAATTCCGGACGTTGATGGGTACGCTCAATGCCGCCGCTGCCTGCTAACGAGGTATGATGGGATTGTTGTGATGACACGGCTGCAGCGGCGGCGGCCGCGGCTGCTGCTTGTTGGGAAGATTGTTGACGCAGATCCTGGTAACCTGACTCTAGTTCGGTGTAGGACATCTTTTCACAGTTAATGTTGATGCTGCTGCTACTTCTGCTGCTGCTGCTACTGGCGAAGAACCTTGAGAATGTGTTGATGGCGGTGGTGGTGTTGGTGTCAAGGTCTTGGTGCTTGATGATGATGCTGGTGCTGCTAAATCTAGGTGTGCCTTCTTTTGTGGATCCGTGAGTAGGCGAAATGTTTCAGATGTCTGACGGTTTTGAGGGGTAGATGGTGTTTTTAGTAAAGTTTTTGGGGAATTTTGTAGTGAATGCATTAATCTGAATTTGCTGCAATATGCACACAATTACGAAGGAAGAAATTACGGACTTGATTACTTTTTCTTTTCTTTTGTGGGGGGTGAAAAGTGCAAAAAATCTAAACTTTTCTGCAACTTTTGCTGGGTGTTCCGGGGTTTCTTCACGAATTTTTCAAATTTTTTCGCACACAATACACACAAGAAGCAGCGAACAAACGAAGCATATCAAACCCAAAAATTTTCAAGTTGACCTTTAAGCACTCGTAATTAAAAAAAGAAAAGCACACACTTTCTTTAAAATTTCCAAATTTTTAACACTTTTCGAAGAAAACAATTCCACACTTCCGACCGTTATGTAATGCAATTTTAGGTATTTTTTCGCTTGATTTCTTTGCACCGAAATTGGCAAAATGATTTTTTGTGTATTTCCCAAGGCGTCTCACTAAATACACAACCATCCACGACAAATGACGACGGCAAAATTTTGTCTGTCAAACCAACATCTTCGACTTGATGTTGATGTTTTGTTGCTGCTTGTTTAGAATGGCTGGCGATAGAGGAAATGTGAAATTTTTGCGAATGTGAAGATAAAGTATGGTGAAAATATGTTGTTTAGAATAGGTTATAAAGCAAAATGGGAAAATTTTGCGCACGTTGAGATGGAATGTGGTGAAAATTTGTTAGTGTTTACTCGTTTGTTTAGAATAGGTTGCAAAGAAAATGTGAAAATTTTGCGAATGAGAAGATGGAGAATAGTGATGATTTGTACTATGTTTCTATAGACTACTGGCCACACATCAACTTTCAAGGATTACAAATAATATTTGCTAATGTTGCGTTCAGACAATAGAAAAAAATGCTTGGATTTGACAAAAAAAAACTGGGAAGTTCTGGAAAAATAGGAGAATATCCAGACTTCCTAAAAATGACTTCTTAGATAATAGATTCGTAAAACAAGAGAAATACAGCTATACAGGTTGTGCCCGTTTTCTTAAAAACTTATCTGTTCCAAATCTGCAAGAATGTCAAAGTTTTTACTGCGATAACCGATTTTCTCTAATCGAAAAAAAAATAAACAATCAAAACTTGTAGATTCTTGCAAGTGATACATCATGTTAACAAAAAGGCGATAGAACAGCTTCCTAAAACTAGAGAAATACAGCTCTAAGACTGTGCCCGCTTCCCGTCAGAATTACTCAAAATAATTGCTTTGTTCTAGAACTGCAACAATGAAAACCTTTTTACTACGATAGCCGATTTTTACCCTCCATACTATAATGGATTTGATGAGATTTGTCATTCCGTTAGTAACACCTCGAAATATACATTTTAGACCCCACAAAGTATATATATTCTTGATCAGCATAAAATTCTATGTCGATTTGGCGATGTCCGTCCGTCTCTGGAAATCACTCTAGCTTCCGAACGAATTAGAAGTAGGTTTGATAAAATTTTACTCAAATGTATATTATGTCTGAAGGACTTTTGGTATTGGAAATGGGCTATGTAGGTCCACGTTTTGGTATAGCCCCCATATAACGGTACCTTCCGATATTCGGTACATTGATGATTTTAGCGACATTATTCACCAGAATTTTTTCAAATTTGGTATTTGAAGTTCGTAATGGATACTACAGCCTATGACAGAAAATTGTCAGCGCAGGTCCATGTCTTCTTATACCCCCATATAACGGTATCTCCTGATATTCGGTATTTTAATGATTTAAGCGACATTATTCAACAGAATTATTTAAATTTGGTATTAGAAGTTCGTAATGGATACTTCAGCCTAAGACAGAAAACTGTCTGTGTAGGTCCACGTTTTGGAATAATAGTTCCTCTTTATATTCGGTATTTTGATAAATTTAGCGACATTATTCACCGGAATTGTTTCAGATTTGGTCTTTGTTCGTAATGAATAATTCAGCCTATGACAGAAAATTGTATGTGCAGGTCCACGTCTTAGTATAGCACCCATATAAAAGTACCTTACGATATTCGATATTTTGACGATTTTAGCGACATTTTTCACAGGAATTGTTTCAAATTCGGTATTTGAAGTTTGTAATGGATACTTTACGATAATACACATTATTTTCCTTGCAGAAGGTCTCCAATTTGAATAAACACTTATTATCAACATAAATTTCTACACATTAACTTTTTGATACAAAATGTTTGACTATTTTTAATTCTCCTTTGGTTGCGTATTTATACGTAAACAAAAATCAGCTCAGCAGCATTTATATCTTCATACAGGTGTTTCTGAACAAACAGGGTTAAGCCACTGGATCTATTAAACCCTGTGGCTAAATCTTCAAAAGTGCAAATGCGCCATTAACCTACTTAATGAATACAAATATGTAACCGTTATTTATGTCTACATGCAGTCCTGTCAAGTCTACGTAATCGTTACGTTATACTAATCACCCCCACTTCAACAACGTACAACGTGGTCAGCTGTAAGCTGACTGTCGAGTTCACATTTTACATTTGACGTGTTGCCTCTTCCTGCATTCGCAAGAATGAAATCCCCCGATTTTGGGGAAAAAGTTGCCAATACTGACAACGCTGGACAACGTAATTGTGGTCAAAATAAAACAGTAACAAAAACAAAGTAAAAAAATATAAATAAACAAAGGCTACAACGTCAAATCAATTGTGAAATACACAGAGAAGTGCATATCATCCTGGGGGAACACTAATTCGGAAAATCAGCGTCGGAAAGCCAAGGAAAAAATAAACCTTGATGAACTGCTTTACTTGCCTTCGAAACTCGAAATAATCTTGGTGATAATATTCCATAAAGATGTCCCAAATAGATAATATTATCATTCAAGTAAGGGCACGTCTACAAGCACTTGCCATTAAATTATGGCTGGAGCCATACTACTATGAGGAAGTTGGTTGTGTGGAAGATGAGATAGAGGTAAGTTGCATTATCTGATCGAATTGCTTGCAATGATAACACCACGTGTACCACGTGTTTCTTTTTTTGTTGGTATAGAAATTGGCTGAAAGCTTTAGCAACAATTTGGGCATATCAAAATCCAATTGTAAACTGGCCTTAAGTGAACTGCAAGAAGGTGCCTTAAGGAAGCTGGCTGCCCGTAAAGAGTTTGAACAGACTGGTGTGTATAGTTTAAATCTACTATGAAATTGTAGAACATAAATATGCATGTGACGTGGAACAATTTATTTTATTCTACAGGTTTGGCCACATTCAGTGTGCGACGCATAAACAATCGTCAGGGTACCCAAAACATAGTTGAAGTAAAATGTTCCCTGAAGGCATTGGGTAGTGAGTTACATGAAAAAATAGCCCAGGCATTGGATGTGGTTGATGCTAGTCGCATAAAGTGTATATCATCGGGTAAAATTGTCAATTCCGAGATGACACTAGACTCGCAGGGTCTTAAGAACAATCAACAGCTAATGGTGATTGTCAGTGAAATTGATCTGGCATCAGCACAAAATCAAGAGGAGGCCATGTATGATCGTATACGTAAAATTAAAATGGATGTTGAGGCCATTGTCGATTCTAGTCAACAATTGTTTGAGGTAATGTGGTTTCATGTGTTGTAGTTTTTGTTTTAAAGTATTTTTTTATTTTCTCTGTAATAGATGGAAGATCAAGATGGCAATCCCGTTTTTCTACCACCCGCCGAAAATCGTGCCCTTCTGATGGCCATGAGTTATTATGAAAAAGCTCGAGCTGCCATGAAACGTGAACACTATGATGAAGCTTTAATTCTCCTATTGGAATCAGATGAAAAATTCATAACGTGTAATTCGAAATTTTTGGAAGCAGTTGATAATTATGCCTTAGTCAATTTGGATATTGTTTGGTGTTATTTGTGCCTAAAGGTATGCTATGGTTTTTGGGGAATTTTTTAAATATTGTTGCGCAGAGGGAAGGTGTGCCATCAGTCGTTTGTGGATTAACAGAAATTCCAGTTCATTCATTTTTTGTTACATTAGAAATTAAAACTTCCTCAGTGAAAGATTCAATACGGTCCACATGCTCTGGGCAAGCGGCACAATATTTGAATGAAATGATTATTTGAAGAAAAATTTTAAATTTTTGAATATTGACTTATCGAATTGCCACATCTTTAATGAACATAAACTACATATTGTCATCTATTATACTTATATTTGCCTTCAAGCGGACCTCATTCTTGTCGCACCGCGTTTAAGCCGGTTAAGATACATCCAGACAGATTTTAATGAAAGAAAATTTTTCAGAAAATCCACAGTTTATTTAGGAATTGAAAGAGAGATAGAATGAAAAAAGGCCATTATTTGCATTCCAATAGAAAAAAGCCTAGAACAGGGTTTAAAACAGACGATGTTCTAAAAGCTTGCCAGTGTCCAGTTAACCCACTCGACCCAAGAATAAATTCCATAGGAAATTTATGTAAATGACGCGTCAAAGGTTCTGCTGGGTTGAAATCAAATCCAAATGGGTGTGGCACACCCGCCTTTCATATTTGCCTTTTTGCTATGATAATATAGTTTCCTTAATCTCTTACAGAATGTAACCCAGTTACCTCATGCTCAACGTCGCCTTGATATATGCGAGAAAAGTTTTCGCCGCTCCTATGGCGAAAATCTCCAACGTCTGATAACCCTAAAGGGAAATGGCTGTGCTGAAAAAGCGCTCATAATGCGTTTACATTTGTTGCAAGGGGTTGTGCTGTTCCATCAAAATCGTCGCAACGAAGCCTATGAAAAGTTAATAGTTGCCGGTACTGAATTGGATGCACTTAAAGTGGATGATAGTTTGGTGGTGGCATTAATGGAAATGGGTTATGAACCCTATGAAGCACGTTTGGGACTAAGAGCTTGTGGTGGAAATCTAGAGCAAGCTATTAATTTTATACATGAACGTAAAGCCAAACTGAGAGAGGCAAGACAAAATTCCAAAGAAGAACGAAAATTGAATGCGAAATTGGCTAATGAAAATAATGGCAATGGCAAGGATTGGGTGAATCCACGCAGTGTTTGTACCCTCATGGAAATGGGCTATGCAAGAGATGTGGTCGTTGAGGCCTTGAAACGTAGTAAAAATGATGTTCCCAAGGCCGTAAGTACTTGAACTTAGAAATAATTGAAAAAAGTAATGAAATACCTTATTTTTTGCAGTTGGATTTATTAAACACCAATGCCGATGAGTTAAGTCGTAGTCTTCCTCCACCACAAACAGCTGATACAGAAATTTTGACACAACTGCAACAATTGGGTTTCAGCGAAGAAATGGCCCGCGTTGCCTTGGAAACCACCCAAAATAGTTTAGACAAGGCAATTGAATTTCTAATCAAAACACATGGCAGCGAAACGGAACTACTGTCAGCAATGGAACGTATTTCGACAAGTGCTGCTGCTGCCGCCTCTGCCATTGTTGCCAACCAAGACAACGAAGGACCTTCTACATCCTCTGGTGTCTCGTCGTTGGTAAGCAAAACCCTGGAAAAGGCTCAAAAAGAAATGGAATCCCTAAAGGCCTATAAACGTTTCACCGAAGAAATGCCTGACAATGAACATGACTACTTGGATTTACCGCTCGTGCAAGAGGAACAAATTCTTGCCGAATACAAACGTCTGCTGGAACAATAGCAGTGACCGCAATACACAAAACACAAGCAATAACATAAATTGTTAACAAAACAAATATTATAAACTGTTGTTTATATTTCCTCTTTTTTATTTTTTAAAATGTTTTTCTTTAATTGTTTTATGGATTTTAGATGTTTGTTTTTTTTTTATAAAATTGTTTTTTATTGAATTTGGCCATTTATACTGTTATAGATATAAAATGTTTTTATTTCTTTTTGTAATATTTTGAAAAAAAAAATCTATATATTTTTCTAAATAAATTTACATATCTTTAAAAAGATTCGAAATTTTGTAAAATGGTTACAACGTATTACCTACAGTGACAATCATATAGATTTAATTATATCAAGGTCTTCTTTCCTATATGTTTTTAAAATCAATTATTTAAATCTGCTTTATTCATAGCCATTTAAATCTGAGATAGCCTTGATATCTAAACGTATTTATTAGGTATCTGATTTGGCAATAAAGTGTACATTGAACTTTGACTGAAATTAACGTAAAATGTTCTATTGTAAATTGAGTAAATATAATTACCATTAATTGAACAAATGTTTGGTCCACTACCCGGGACGCATATTGGAAAAATATGTATATTTTGGCAACATGTAATTGTGGCATGACAATAACTAATTATACCTCTACAACACTATGTGTTGGGGGTATTATAAGTATGATTGGGTCAAAAGATATGTAACACCTCAAAATATTGGTCTAGCACATAGGAATGTATGTATGGATCTTCCTATCTCGCCGAGATGAGTCGATCTAGCTATGTATGTCCGTCCATCCGTCTGTCCATGTTAATGTTCTAATCTTCTCGAAATTGAGAATGGAGGTGGGATTAGGGTTAGAATATTTTTTTTCTAAATTTTATAATTTTATAAGTAGCCGACCTTTGATTTTAAAATGAATATCTTCGGAACTACAACAGATATCAGCACATAGGACAACATTTTAGAAAGACAAAACGATTCCATTTTCGTCTTTAATATTCGCTAAACTCAATTTGAGCCTTTTTATACCCTACACCACCAGGGTACTATGTCTTTGTGCATTTGTTTTTAACATGGAGAAGATAGTGGGAGTCGATTTAATTCTGCCATGTCTTTTTGTGAACAAAATGCAGGTCGCATTTATTATCCGATTGAGATGGAATTTTGCAAACAATATTGGTTTGACCCAAGGACGAACCCTATTTAAAATTGGAGAGAATCTGTTCAAATTTAGATATAGCTCCCACATATATATCTCCAACCGATTTCGAGTTAATTGTGCACCAAATGGGCAATATCAGTCCAAATAACCTGAATTTTGGTACATTCGACGGAATTCAGTCTAGAAGCAAGTACAACAAATTTGGTGGAGATCGGTTCAGATATAGCTATAGCTCCAATATATATGTTTCATACGATTTGGCGTTTTAAGTCCCTCACATGCGTAATATGTATTCGACAACAATGATGTCTGGTACCGGATATTTGATAGAGCTCAGAAATACCTCTGCCAAATTTTATCGACATCGGTTTAGATTAGGATATAGTTCCCATATAAATCTTCAACCGATTTCGGGTTAATTGTCCACCAAATGGTCAATATCAGTCCAAAAGTCCCGAATTTTGGCACATCCGACGGAATTTAATCCAGTAGAATATAGATCGAATTAGGAGAAAATCGGTTCAGATATTGCTATAGCTCCAATATATATGTTTCATCCGATTTGGTGTTTTTTTCCCCTCACATTCGTAATATGCACTCCACAAGAATGAAATTTGGTACCAGATATCAGATAAAAGCCAGAAATTTTATCGACATCGGTTCAGATTATATATCTCCCATACATCCTACCGAATTCAGTCCAGAAGTGAGTACATCAAATTTGGAGAAAATCGGTTCAGATATAGCTATAGCTCCCATATATATGTTTGATCCGATTTGGTGTTTAAGTCCCTCACATTCGTAATATGCATTCGACAACAATGATATTTGATACCAGATATCTTATAGAGGTCGGAAATACCTTTTACCGAGATCGCCTAAGATTTGGATACAGCTTACACATATAAAATAATCCGATTTCAGGTCTTTTGTGCAAATAATGGCTAATATCAGCTCAAATGGAGTGAATTTCGGCCCCACCCGACTTTTGACATTTCCTTACGGGTTTCTTTATAGGGAAAATTTTTAGGACATAATCCCGACAGCAAAGGGTCATTATATCCATTTAAAAAGCGGAATTGCACAATTCTCGTTATTTCAATGGGGATTATGTCAGGTCTCCGAGAATCTCTTAAGAACGAAGTCCAAACTTGGGCAACGAACTGAGCGAATGGTTATTTTAAAGGAATTCAGGAGGACCTCTTCGTCCTAACTACATAATGTATCAAAGACGGAATTTGCTGACATTTTTTTTTTTGAAAAGATGTCTTCATGGATTCTCAGGTTGTGTAAATTTGGAATTGACCGATAGGTGATGCTACTCATAAAAAAACAATCAGGCTGCCGAATAAAGTCACTTGACAATTCCGGCAGTAGCTTCGTTATTATTTCCTCATTATTGTTTTGCTGCTATTCAAACGTATAATTACTGTTGAACATCTTCGTTTTTTATTATAATTTTACTTTTTTTGCGTTTGCATTCCTCTACTTGATTATTAATCATTTAATTAATTACTAACATTAACAACGGGCAGTCAGTCCGGCAGGCTGTCTGTCGCATTTTCGTCGCAAATCATTTGATTTTTTCGCAATAATTCTAATTTGTATTTTTTTATATTGTTGTTGCTGTTCTATAATCATCTCTAAATATCGATTGACAATATCCCATACCATCTCCCAGCCAGCCAATTGTAAATGGGGAGGAAAAAAATCTAATAAAAATAACTGCTTTTTCAACATGACTGGCCAGATATTAAATGTATGAAATTGCAAAAGCATTCAACTGTTGGACCTGGAGTTAAATGAGCTTTTTATTAAGCATGGTTTACGCTTGATTTGTTTGACGGCGGGCGGCAATTGTTGGCTGTGACAACAATTCACGAACAGAAGAAAATCATTTTGCGTGAAAAACGTGAATAGCAGCTAGAAGTTTTTCCGTGATGCCGGTTTATTTCCGATATTCTTGTTGATCGATTTCATGCTAGCTTATGGAAAACGAAAAACGCAAATATAAAACACAAGACTTCCCTTCAATTCTTTTTTTGATTTTTTATTAAGAGCAGAATTAACTTCTAGCTCTTCTATTAAAAATATATATTCTAGCTTTGTACAATGGTTTGGTTTCAGGATGCACAGTTAAAAGGGATTCGGCAGCTGCTTTACTCGGAGACCTTTCGTCCATTATGTTTATTCTAGGAAGAATAAAGTTGTGGTGATAGGTAAGGAAAGATAAATAAGTAAAAGAGAGAAGAAAGGAATTGTAGAGATAGCGCAAGAAATTTGGTGATCTTTGGGTCAAACAAGGCATATCAAAATATCTAAGTTATTTTTGCGGAAAGAATAGAAGACCTCGGCCTTTCTATAGAAAATTTATGTCGAAGACGGGTTTATTATTACAGACGGTCTACCAGAGACGTTTATTCTGCTTAACTCATAAAAAAATGCAAAAATCAAAAAACATTTGGGCGCCATAACAAGTAACAAAGCACACACACATATTGTATTTTTTAAAAAGTAGCAATTTTATGTAAGAGTAACTTTAATATTATTATTATTATTATTATTATTATTATTATTATTATTATTATTATTATTAATATTATTATTATTATTAATTATAAAAGACGTACATACAGGGTGAAATAAAAAACGATAGCCACTTGTGGTTTTCCAGCCAAATATAAAGAAATCAAACTATCTCTCTTGAATTCCATCACGAATAACTTTTTTTCTGGAAAATTCTCACCAAAATGCTTTTGTATGCTTGTAAACAATATAATGAGCTATCACTGGAAATATTTTTTCGTACAAATATAGGACAGCTGTCGAACAAGTGGCTTAGAAATGATAGTAGTCTGAAGTTTGTTGCAGTTTTTTCATCTCAATATTACTGATAAGGATTTTTTGGTCGAAATTTTAAACCGTTGAGCTATTCATCCAAGGCGTAGTTTTGGTGCTTTTTTCAAAATATGTTTAAAAATTCCATTTAATTATAAACCGGCCTTATAAAAATACTAACAAGAGCCCGCTAATTCGTCGACGAAAAACCAACTTAAAATTTTAGATTTGTCCAACAGATTTTTTAGGCCTTTTTAGTACCCAAAATATTCAAGGTCTTAATTCATAACATAATTAAATTTTTTCCTTCTTCGAACAGAATAATAGGAAAATGACCTCGATATCAAATTTCAGAATTTAAGCTCTACCCTTTCAACCAATGATAAATTTGGTACTATTTAGTACTTTTCGTACAATTATTGTACACATTTTCTAAACCATCTCCATATTTCAATGCACGATACTAACAGAGACCTCAATGTCAAATTTGAGGATTTCAGCCCTTTCACCCATTAACAAATTAAGTACCATTTAGTACTTTTCGTACAAATATAGGACGCATTTCCAAACTACTGCCTGAGATAATCTAATCTAGATATCAATTGTCAGACTTTCACCTCTATTCCTTCACCTAATACCACATTTAGTACTTTTCGTACAATTATAATACAAATTACAAAACTCCTCCACAATTTAACCACTGACACCAACAATCACATCCATATCAAATTTTAGGATTCCTGCTCTATACTTTCATCCACCACAAAATTTGGAACTATTTAGTACTTTTGGTACAATTAAAGCATAAATTTCCAATACCAAACAGAGACCTCAATATCAATTTTGATGATTTCAGCCCTATCCTTTCACCTAATAACAAATTAAGTACCATTTAGTACTTTTCGTACAAACATAGGACACTTTTCCGAACCACCTCAACATGTCCCGACTACACATGAACAGCGACCCCTTTACCAAATTTTAGATTTCAAGCACTATTTGTTCACCCAATACCAAATATAGTACTATTTATTATTTTTCGTTCACTTGTAGTACACTTTTCCAAAACGACCTCCATATCACAATCCCAGATACCAACAGCGACTTTAATATCAAATTTAGCTCTATCTCTTTACCCATTACCAAATATAGTACCAATTCGTACTTTTCGTACAATTACAGAACACATTTCCAAAACCACCTCCATATCTTAACCACATACATCAACAGTGACAATCATATCAAATTTCAGGATTCCAGCCCTCACCTTTCACTAATCATCAA